GGGATTTCCGTGGGGCATTCGAAGATGTCGCAAGCGAGGGAAAGGAATGTGAGAGATATCATTAAAATCGCTTGCTCGATATTGCACGCGATTTTGTAGACTAACACTCAGAAAGGTGACGTTTCGGCATTTTAGAGCAAATTTATAAGAGCTGATGTCGCAACAGATCACCTCCAGGTGCTGTATTTGTAAGGGGTTGATTCTAATATGGCTTATTGGCATCTCCATGTTTAGAAGGCTTAGGTGTGTGACTCTTGAGAGATCCGGAAATGGCGTTTGGAGACGCGTCTTCCAGATGGCAGGGAAGTACCACCCGGATCCCCTCACTCCGCCTCGTAGACCTCGATACTGAATAGAGAGGCTTTCTAAAAGTGGTGTGGGCTTTCCCATAGCTTCTATCATGAATATGGCTCTTGAAAGGGTGCCCTGGCCCCAACCTTGGACATACCAGAAATTATTGGCGATAAGGTCGAATGTCCTCCATCTCGACATGATCGTACCTTTGTCACCAACAAGGGTAACCAAAGGTTTGAGAATAAGGGGTAAAAGGTGACGGGGGACAGGGTGATCCAAACCGTCTATTCGGAGGAAATGATTTTTCCATCGGAGTGATGAACTTTTGTCTTCAGGTTCCACCCATTCTCTTTTGAATTTCGCTTCACACCTGGTCTCAAAGTTTGGTAAATGTGAGTAATTGACTTTGATATCGAGAGGAAGCTGGCCACTTCTTTGGACGGCAGTCTTGCAGAAAGCCACGCAGGCAGCGATATCGTCCAAACGACCAGGTATAATGACGCGAATTGAGGTGCAAAGCTGTGGGGTGTCGATAATCGCCCTGTACCAAGCGCGACAAACGAGCTTCAGGCTTGTGATAGAGCTTGGTTCTGACGTTATTACCCAAGCCAGAACTTCGGTAAAGAGTTCTATTGGGAGTCTTGAGACCAATATAGTACTATTTAATAGATAATCGTCGAGTATGGTCCTGATTTCTTGTTCTAAGGATGCTTTGTATGCAAGGAGAGTGTCAAGTTCTTCTTCCAATCGCTTCATGATCGCGTTATAATCTCCATTCTGGTCATTTTCAAGTGAGCTCGTCTGCCGATCTACGGAATTCATGCCTAATACCGAAATAGTTCAGACTATTAGACAGAGTAGACCCGGACGTAGATGTAAAAACTCACTGTAGAAATACTAGAGTATTAGACTGACGGGTATAGGAGTCAAGCTATGGGCTTCAAGATATATAGGGCTTTTGAATTCATATGATGGTAAGGACAAACGTAACCTTGTGGTGCTACACAGTGACCAAAGCGGCTGGTGTGCGCCAAGTGTACCACTATCTCCAACATATCTGACCAAGAATTACCAAGTATTTGAGGGGTATTTACAGTCTGGAATATACCGGTGTCATTGTTCGTGGTATGCTTGTCGGTATATTACCTTAGTATCGGAACTGTTCAGAGGAAACTGGTTTCAAATTAGGCATAGAATGGGATTCCTGTCGCTAAAAATGCAAAGAGGCCTATGCAACTAGTCCCAATTCTGCTCTCATCCAGATCCCACACCACTTCCAAAGACAAGATCGACCTTCGTTCGTCGATCCCAGACATGCACGCCATCAGACACCCGTTTGAAGTACATTACTCTATGGAACGGGATCTATAGATAACATTCAGTCTCATGATTACACGCTTGTGTTTAGCGGCTACTTACGAATGACTCGTCTTCGACCTCTCGCTTCCATGCAGTGAGTGGGGCTTCCTTGACACCTAGAAACCTGTCCTCGTATCCAATGACATACCCATCCTTCGATACAGGACCAGTAGTATCCCACATAAGGCGGTTGTACACGTCCGAACTAGTTCGCAGTTTCCCGGAGGCGATATGAGGGGTGGATTTTGACTTGGAAGCCGCTGCTCGTTTCCGTTGTGCTGCTGAAACAGGCTTGAAATCATCCCAAGATTCTTCTGGATCAGCTTGTTCTTCTTGATCGGCAACTTCCGGTAAGACTAGATCTCTCTGTAGATCTTCCTCTTCGTCTGCATCCGGAGAATCCACACCATTATCAGACCAGACGAATGGATCCGGAAGTAGATGGGCCGGTAATTCGCGCTTCTTGACTTATGTCAACGAGATGAAAGTATCCGCTGAATCGTAAAACCGTTCAGTGCCCCGTAAGTCACGTTCAAAGCTCCGTAAGCAGTTCAAGATGGCAGATTCGGTATCTGCAGTCTGAGCATTGGCCCCACTCGAAGGAGATCCCAATCCAAATAGGTAGAATCCTTGAAGATCGCGTGAGCTCGTGTCCAATGTGGACTCGTCGACCAGTCTTTGCGGCCAGAACCGTGTGATGGCTTCTGGGGCAGCTTGCTTCATATGCACAAGGAACTAAACGATTGAAACCATCAGTTGAGGAAGTGTGATATTGGAATTTCAAGGATACCCACGTTAACTATTCTGGATTCCATCCAACCGAC